TGAGTGAAAAGCTCAGATAAAATATATTTCTGATTGAAAACAATAGTTTGAAATGGGGAACTTTTTAGTGTTCACATATATTTTAAAGATTTTAGTTTTTCTGAGGATTCCCTGCCCTTCCCCATCCCTTTTTACACAGTTACTACTGCTAGATGAACCAACAGCTGGAATGGACCCCTGTTCTCGCCATATTGTTTGGAATCTTTTAAAATACAGAAAAGCCAATCGGGTAACGGTGTTCAGTACTCATTTCATGGATGAAGCTGACATTCTTGCTGGTGAGATTTTTGCTTTATTTTTAAAGAATTACGGTCAAAGGGAAGGTGGACATAGAGATGCTAAATCCTGAGGAATGGAGAAACTGTGTTACCTAATGTTGTATATTCATCACAAAAAAGTTTAAAATTTTTAAAATGATATGTTTTTATGTTGGGTATTTCTAAGACCCCCCCCCAAGTTTAGTGATTTCCTAGGAAAACTCATAGAACTCAGCATATAGTCATACTCATGCCTATGATTTATTACAGCAGAAGGATACAAAGCAAAATTAGCAAAGGGAAAAGATACATAAGGCAAAATCTAGAGGAAACCAGTCACAAGCTACCAAGAGTCCTCTCCCAGTGAAGTCACACAAGATGGGCTTAATTTCTTTAGCATTGAATTGTAACAACATGTGTGAATGTCTACCAGGGAAGGTTATTAGAGACTCAGTGCATAAGATTCTTTTTTTTTCTCTTTTATTTCAACATATTATGGGGGTACAGATGTTTAGGTTATGTATGTTGCCCTCGGTCCCCCACCCCAAGTCTGAGTTTCAAATATGTCCATCCTTCGGGTGGTGCACATTGCACTCCTGGTGTATACAAATAAGATTCTTATTAGGTGCTGGTCATAGGCACTCTCTGTCTAGCACATATCAAAATTCTAGACTCCCAGAAGGAAAGCAGGTGTTCAGCATAAACCACCTTGTTTGTATAGTTTAAGCATAGTGAGCTACTCTTAATTTGTTTAGAGAATAGTGGGAACCCTCCCAAAATCCAAGTTCCCTGATACCAGCCTAGGGCCAACCTTGTAAGTAGGCCTGTCTAAGGATAGCTGTCTCAGACCTGCTTTGTTAACTCTTTTCTGCACAATTTTATACACATACACATATAAAGAATCCAAGTTTAAGTCAACACATGATTTTTAATAGAGTCAGACTGCTTGGGTACAGTTCCTAGCTTTGTTACATAATAGATATATGAAACGTGTAAGCAATATATTTTCTTACTACCTCAGTATTTGCATCTGAAAAATAGGTGATGATAAACTAGTACCCTCATCATAAGGTTGTTGGTGACTCTGAATGAGATCCTAACATGAGTGTCCCTCATGATTATCTATAAACTATAAATGCCAATTATTAATGCTGTTATTAACTTAGAAATTGAAATGTAAATCTCTATTTGCAGATAGGAAAGCTGTCATATCACAAGGAATGTTGAAATGTGTTGGTTCTTCAATTTTCCTCAAGAGTAAATGGGGGATTGGCTACCGCCTAAGGTATCATTCATTCATTTTTTTTTTGGAGACAGGGTCTTGTTCTATTGCCCAGGCTAGAGTACACTGGTGTCAGCATAGCTCATTGCAACCTTGAACTCCTGGCTCAAGCAATCCTTCTACCTCGGCCTCCCAGGCAGCTGGGATTATAGGCACATGCCACCATGCCCAGCTGATTTTTCTATATTTTGTAGAAATGGGGTCTCGTTCTTGCTCAGGCTGATCTTGAACTCTGGGCCTCAAGCAATCCTCCTGCTTCAGCCTCCCAAAGTGCTAGCATTACGGTGTGAGCCAACATGCCTGGCCCATTGTTCATTCTTTATTGACTTTATTATTTATTATGCTCTTGATCTACTGTTGTTATTTTTGGAGTTTGCCATAGTGTGCTTTGTGACCATATTTTATGGCGCTAAATTTAATTTAAAGCCTTTGTAATTTACTTCTGGTTGTTTATTGAGTAAGGGTTTGCCATAGTGTGCTTTGTGACTATATTTTATGGCACTAAATTTAGTTTAAAGCCTTTGTAATTTACTTTTGGTTGTTTATTGAGTAATCATTAACAAATTGGTTTTTGGTATTCTTTAGCATGTACATAGATAAATATTGTGCCACAGAATCTCTTTCTTCACTGGTTAAGCAACACATACCAGGAGCTACTTTATTACAACAGAATGACCAACAACTTGTATATAGTTTGCCTTTCAAAGACATGGACAAATTTTCAGGTATTATCTATGTTTGTTAGATTTTGAACCAGGATCTTTTATTGGGAATAGATTTTCTTTATTTTCTTCTTGTTTACTTCTCTATACTGTGTAGTATTTCCATGCTCCCAGGTGGCCAGAGTTAATGTTCTGATTTTATAGCAAATTATATGGTAAACCCTTGAATTGTTTTAATTGAAGCATTATTTTTTAACTTTTTAATGAGGAACTCAAACTCAAGTCTCCTTCTTCTGTTTAGGAATTGCTTAATAGCCAAAAGGATATTACTGACGTAGGTATGCAGCATAGAATTTTTGTAGCATTTATCTCATAATCAGAAAAAATATTTTCTATAGTAGCTTAATTGGCTTCTTTCAAAAAAAAAATAAATCACTAATTAACTAGATTAAAGTATGCGTGCCAACTTAATGCACTGTGCCTGCCATTCTGTCTACCTATACCTACCTATCTCCCATTTTTAATAACATTTATATAGGACTTATTTTGTGCCAGATGCTGGTCTGTGCCTTTTGCAATTATTAGTTTATTTCATTATCCCAATATTTCAACAAATACATGAGATTAACACTATTATTGCTTTTATTTTATAAATGAGGAAATCGAGGCATAGAAAGATTTAGGGAACTTGCCCAAGGTGACAAGTAGAAAGTGGTGGAGCTGAGTTTTGAACCCAGGCAGACTGGTTCTAGACCTCATGTTTTTCACCACCATACTTTGTTGCCTTTCGTATTTCTTTGATAAATTGTCACAATATTTCAGGGATTTCAAAGTGTGTTCTGGAAACTTCTGGGGG